TTATTATCAAATCAATGATCAATCATTAACATTAATCATTCCTTGGATACAATTATTTTTGTTTTGATCATGTGGTGATGATTGAGTTATGATGATGATGATGATGATGATGATGAATAAATTTTCAATAGGAATTTCGGATTTAAACATTTATTCATATCAAGTTTCAATAGTGATGATGACGATGATGGTGATTGATACACCTTAATTTTATATGGTGGGTGATGTGATACTATAATATTTTAACAAATTTTTTCCGTATTTTCGACCTTAAAGATAATATAAGCTTATTTGTCTTTTTTTTTCTCTCTCACAGAAGTGTAACATAAATTCTTGATTCAAAAATATAAATTTTAACCATTGGCGCCATTTAACGTTCTTCGTAATCGTGTGTGTTATACGCAAGACAATAATTTTAATATTTTTTAATCAATAATAAATTAGTGATGAAATCCTACTGTGAAAATTATTTCAACAATCTTCATTATTATCACTGTTATTATTGATGATAATTTTGAAAAGGAAACACATCCGTTCAGCTCTAATTTAATATAAAAATTTTTTTAAATATAATATTAGTGTCTGATTCATTAGTCAAACAATTGAAGGTTCATTAACTGTGATCGACAAATGCGACAACATTATGAATGAAAACAATGGACCATTGAATTGTGAACCTATGGCCGAAAATATTTCATTGGCATGGCGAAATTTATCGTATCAAGTGAGTGGCTGGTTCGGCAGCGGAAAAAAATCCATTCTGAAACGTTTGAATGGCCATGTCACTTATGGCAGTATGAATGCATTTCTGGGACCAAGTGGAGCAGGTAAAACTACAATGCTCAACTGCTTGAATGGTACACTTCGTAGTGGTATCACTTCGGACTCCGAGATTTATCTGAATCGTGCAGAACGTAATCAAACGCCAGTTATTCGATTTGTCGAGCAACATGTTCACGAAACCATCATCGCTCGAATGACAGTTCGAGAAATACTTCACTATGCATTTCGTTTCAAGAATACTATGAGCCAATGGAATCGAATGAATCAGCATATACTTTCTGTGTTGAATGAACTTTTACTCGATAAAACCATATTGGATAATCATTTCGAGAAATGTTCTGGCGGAGAACAACGACGTATTGCTATCGCTCAGGAATTGATGTCATTGGAAAAGCCGACTTTTTTGTTCGTCGATGAACCAACAACCGGCCTTGATAGTAATGCTGCTCTACTTGTTATGGAATGTTTACGAAAATTAGCTGGTAATAATCGATTGACTATTCTGGTTTCAATCCATACCCCAACTCAGACATTATGAGCTTATTCGACAAAGTATTTGTTCTTGCCAAAGGAGGTGTTTGCATCTATTCAGGACCACCAAACGACTTGCGTAACAATTTGAAACAAAAAATTGACGATGAATTCGACACGGAGAAGCCACCCATTGAAGAATATCTGGATATCGCTTGTGAAGGTATGAAATAGAATCATTAAATCTCTAGATAAATGGATAACTTTAAGAAAAATTTTTTCGCTAGCTATCGGAAGTAAAAATGTTCGAAAATTAACCGATTCAACCTTGATTGAACAACATACTCAATTGGATCCATTGGTTGATGATTTAAAATTCTTACAGAATGGTATCAGACAAGGACGTAAACGTTTCTGTTGGGGAGACTTAATCTTACAATTTCATCGGATATTCAGAATAACATTCATAGCCGAATATAAAAGCTTTTTAATGCAATTTCCATATTATTTTTTCGTAATCATGTTGGTCACAACGTTTTTTGAATCGACAATGACTCATGCTGAAACTTGTTATTCATTCGATTCGGATGAAAGTGCTCGAAATGTTACCTGTCGTGATAAACTATACGCTGAAGCATTGGCTGATGATTATGAAATGAATCAATGGTTTTTCATTATACTATTCGGTATGAGCATAGTTTCTATCAGTAGCATGTTCTTCGATCCCATATTAAAAGTATTTCGAAATGAACATCGTAATCGTAAGTTTATCCTAAAAACTAATCATGATAATGATAAAATGATCATTGTTTGAAATTACAGAATGGTATGGTCTTGGTACATTCTATTGGGCATTTATCGTTGTACGTTTTTTCCAATTGACTATTATGTCCGTTTTTATTGGTCTCGTTGCATATTTCTCTGTTGATCATCTATACGTTGACAATTATCAAATGAATTGGAATCGACTTGGTCATTATTTATATTTTACATGGTTAAATAATTGTTATCAGCAAAGCATCGGCTATATTTTATGTTTGATCTTTCTTGGTAAAGTTGAAGTATCGGTCGTATCTTCCTATATTATTGTGCTTTGTCAACAGTTCTTCACTGGTTTCATGTTCAATCCTTATAAGATGAAAACTTTACCTTCAATTTTTTTACGAATGTCAGAAATTTTATCGTTCAAGACTGTTTCCAATGGGCTAATGTATACGATGTATGGACTGGATCGTTGCGATGATGAGACGACAATTTCATTCGTACTCGAAGATTTTGGAGTTAATGTGGATACAGTGTATAGTGATTCATATTTCATGATCATCAACATTCTCATTATTCGTTTTCTTGTATTCGTTTTGATGGTATACCATTTCAGTGGAATCTTTCGATCAAAAAGATTTGTCAAAGCTTCAATTTCTGATGCAATCAAATGTATTGATTATGGAAAGCTAACTAACCAGAAAGAAGAAGCAGTTGATTTATCTAAAACTGTTCGAATCAAAAAAGAAGATGAACTTGGTTTTGAACATTTTGCTCGCCATAAGATTGTTGTTGCATGGCGATCGCTTACTTTGTTTGGTACAAAATCAATATATGAAATTCGAACGATACAAAAAGAAGGAAAGGATTCGAAACAAATTCTAAAAAAATTTGAATGGTCAATTCCGTTTTGGAACCCTTAATGCATTGATGGGACCATCTGGAGCCGGCAAAACTTCACTGCTAAATATTTTAATCGGAAAATCCAAAACTCGAATGAGCGATACAACTAAATTCTTCCTCAGTAAATTTACCCCCATTCGTGTTTGTTATCTTACACAAGAAGTTTCAGGCCATTTGTTACCCGGTTTGACAGCCAAGCAGAGTTTGATTTATGCATCAATGTTAAAAAATGCATCAGAAAACGAAAACTTGGATCATGAAGCAATCGCTATGAAAATTCTCAAAGAATTAGATCTGGTCGATACGAAAGACACTTATGTGCAAAATTGTTCCGGTGGCCAAAGGAAACGTTTGGCGTTGGCTCTGGAACTCACATCGATTCGGATGCCAAACTTGATTTGTATCGATGAACCAACAAGTGGTTTGGATTCAAGCTCAGCTCAAGTTGTCGTGTCATGTTTGAGACAAGTGGCTCACCACCACAACATTTGCATCATCACATCAATCCATCAGCCAACAGCCGAAGTGTTTTCCATGTTTGACCAGGTTTACGTTCTAGCTAAAGGGGGAGTGTGTGTCTATTCAGGTCCACCATCTGATATACGTCAGCATTTGACCAAAGTTTCAGACCGAATGGATCAAGATGAAATTTTTCCAGTTGAAGAGTTGATCAAATATTCTTGTCTCAGTTATGAAGATCCTTTTATTCAGGATTTGGTTTGTTTGACCAATGAGAGAATCTTAAATGATTATCATATTCTATTAAATGAAACCGTTCCTGTATTGGATGGAATACCGACTAATCGAAATCGTTTTTCATTAAAATCTGTCTGGGTATTGATACTACGTTATGCATTCTATGTTCGTGGATATTTGTGGCAAACTCTGTGTATCATGTATTGCTTGTACATGGGTTTTGGATCTGCATTTAATATAGTTTTTGACCACAACATGATTTATTATGATGGTTGTGTTGACTTATTGGATGATTTCAATAATACCTGTAATCAAACACAGGACAAAGAAGATGAAGATTTCGATTTAAAAGCTTCATTCATTTATGCAGCTTTCGTGAATTCATTGTTATTTTTTCTATTTTTATTACAAGCATCGATCATGTTTTCCAAAGAAATTGTCTTTTTCCGTAATGAACATCGAAATGGTAAGATATAATTGAATTAATTGATTTATTCACTAAAAATTATTCTTTCCAATTTTATAGGTTGGTATAGTACCGGCGTATTCTATACGATGAAATTATTTACCGAAATCATACCGCTAATACCCGCCATCACTATATTTGCATATATAACCGATATTTTCGAACCAATTCAACCAGGAATGTATTGGTGGATGTTATTATATTTCATAATAAACGCATTAGTCGCACAAGCACTTGGTCATCTAATCGCTATACTTACATTGGGCGATTTTATTGCATTAATCATTGCGATGCCGGCAGTAGAAGTTATATCATTATTACTTAGTAATATAGCCACACCAGTTCGTCGTCTGCATTATATATTTCAATTTTTATCGTATTTCGCTCCAACAAGATTTGGTTTAGAAGCCATTTTATTATTACAATATGGATTCGAACGTTGTCGCAAAAAAGAAGTTCAAAAAATCATGCTTAAATTAAAAATGGAAGATAATGAACATGAATTTCATGAAACATATTTTCTATCGACAATTATCATGTTGATATTCAATATGCTATTCTATCGTATTATTGCCATTCTGGTTTTATTAATCAAAACGAATCGTTATGAAAATCGACGACGTCGTGCCATGAAAATACAGGATGCATATGAAAAATTAAAACCATCGAACGTAATCATACCCGGTTTACAATGTCATCATGAATTGATCATCAAACAAATTCAGGTGTAATTTTATTCTATTTTCTGGAAAACAAACCAAATTTAATATATGATGATGATATGATATATTGTTGCCATCTGTTTACAGAGAAAAGAACTATTTCAATTTCATCTTTTTTGACAATTTATCTTTATATCTTAATCTGAATTTATTGCAAATCACAAAAATAGAATAAAAAAATTAGAAGAATTTTCACAGAAAAACACTCATTCTTATTTATTGAATTATAAATTCAGGCAGACAATGATTTTTTTCAGTTTGATTGCCAATCATTGTCCACTAATGTATCCATCCAGACGATAATCGATCATTGAACGTAGCTTATTTGATTGTTGTTGTTTTTGTTGTTGAATACTGTTTTCTGTACTTTTCGTAACATTGATGCCGTCATGCTGTGTCATCATCATCATCATAGCATAGACACCAGATTCTGACCATAATCGTTTAAATGTTTTTTCCTTTAATAATGAATCATTATCACCATCGTTGTCATCTAATTGTTGGCTGCTATTGATCCGCTTATCATCGGTTGACCATAAATTTTGTCGATCAAACATTCGAATTAATAGATCGATGTATGCACGAGGAAAATTTGATTCATAAAAAAATGTATTCGGAGGATGATAGAAAATTCTTGATTCATCTATTGAACTTTTCAATGTTTGACAATTTAGTAAAATTTTGTTCAATACTTGAACAATAGCAGATAATGATTGTAATGATCCACGACCACCAACACTACCGATGATCATATGGATAAGTCCTTGTCGTTGAACATCTTGGATCAATATTGGCCATGATGCTTGAGAATGAACTTTAATTTCATCATTATCGGTGAATATATCGTACACCATTCCAGTAAGATTTGAAACAAATTTATGTTTACCTTCGAACATTGATCGACGTTTTGATGTGGTCAACGTGACTACATCGCCTGAACGACCATCATAAACAGTGATATGTAAATTATGTCCTTTCAATTTTTCACTGGGAATTAATTCCTCTTCTATCAACGATTCTTTAATATCAAAATAATCCAAATTCCGTTGGTTGATTTTTTTGGCCGCACTTTCGACAATTTGTTTGGCAATATGATCAATATAACTCATGTTCAATAGGTAAGATTCATTCGATTGTCTAGCTCGCAATTTAGCTAATGCAGTTGCACCAAATTGAATCGTATCTAGTAGATATTGAAATTCTAATGCACCTTCTTTCAATGAACGGATACGGTCATCATCATCGTCATTGGGATTATTGCAAACATAATTCAAACCAGAATCAATTTCACTATAAGTAAGCTTTTCTAGTATTTTCATCATGAAAGCCAATGTAATAGCTTCGTTTGAATTTTTAAGAGTTCCGGTCATAAGATTTAATTTCGATTCAAATAATGAAAATATAAACGGTTCATCGATGGTAATCAGTTCGGCTTTGGTAAGAAACGAACGAAGTTCGTGAATAGATATTGTTTCATTCAAAACTTCATAGATTTCATCAACATAATTTTCTTGAAACAAAGCCATAGATCCATTTGCTGAAATTGATCGGAATATCTTTGCTAATGAAGGATTTTTATACATTTCACCATCATTCAATAAACGTTCGGTTGAATTTGTGAATCGAATGAATCGGTCACGAATCACTTTGAAGTCATTTAAAAGCTTATTTTGATTAGCACGAATTTCTTGTGCTAAATGTTCACTGATTGGTGCACCGTTCTCGGCCAACCAAATCGATGGCATCAATATGGTTGACCAGGAAACTCGTCCAAAATTTTTCCAAAGCAGTTCAGCTGCCAATGGTAAGACTGGATACGATAGACTAGCTTTTGTTGTGGAATTGTATTGCTGTAATGGAAAATTTCTTTCAATCACGTCGAATGTGTAAGTTTTCTGATCCGAATGAACAAGACCACGAAAACCGGAATCAAGGCCAACTAAATGAGGCGATGCCATAGTCAGACAGAATAAAGATGCTAATGCTGCATCCATTGCCGAACCATTTCGATTCAATAACATTTCACGACCAGCATCGGCACAGCTTGGATATTCATTACCGCTAACAAGTACGGCAAATTTTGAATGCAAAACTTCGGGTAAGGGTGATTCATAGAAACGAGCAGCAAAATATTCATCACGTTTAGCTTTCAATCGTGGTAGACCGAATATCAATGTTACCGATACAGCGGCAATAAACAATAACATCGATATTGCTGCAATAAAAAATTGTTTACGAGTAAAATATGTACGTGGATATCTTGTATCGATCAACATGGTACGTTTGAAACCAGATGATGTTGACGCTACAGTAGATTGAAGTGTACCATAACGTGTATTTGTACCGCTATTTGGATTATTAGTAACCAATGATGATGATGTTTGTGGTGATCCAATTGTTGTTGATGATGATGATGATGATGATGACGATGGTTCAGTTATTTCAGCCATTTTTTGTGATTGTTTTTCAACAGTATTTCGATGTCGAATTTTATTATTGTTATTATTATTGAAAGACAATGATGTAGATGGTCGAAGATCTTGTAATTCTTGTTGTTGTTGTTGTTGACCACTGTCGTTGTCGTCGTCGTTATCATTATCTTGCAACAAAGGTTTTGTTTCGCTCATTACGATTTGTTTGTTTGTTTGTTTTTTTTGGTTAACTGAATAGTATAGTGAAGAATGTTTCACATGACAAACAATTATATTTCTAAAGTTGAGATGATATGGAAATGAAATATATTAGCAATATAACAAACTATAGCAGGCAATACTTACTTTACTTACACACACACAAACAAACATATGGGCCATATCATCAATGGCAACAAGTTATCGATCGATAATTGATTTATAAATATTGTTGTCTATCAACATTCAATTGATTTGATATATTTTCAAATCAATAATGATAAACACATTGACAATTGAAGATTGAAGAGCCAATTGACTTTATTTTGAAGGATGATAAAGAAAAAATAAATGATAAAATGATATTTTCTTGATGAATGCATTTGATTGATTGATCCATGAGTTGTTGTTGATCGATGATGGATTCGTTTACCAAACAATCATATACACATCAATAATTCCAAACATTATTATTTGAAAAACATTCGAATTGCAAAAAAAAAAAAATTCCATTCAAATGTTTGGGTGTTTTCGTTTGAGTGTAAATATCCAAAAAAAAAAATAAATAAAAAAAATGAAAATGCAATTTCAAAGAAAAAAAATAACCGAAGAAAAAAATCCCGTTTTTTTTTATTTCATCATCATATCGACCGTTCAAACATCATGAAAATGTTTGAATACACAACAACAACAACAACAACAACAACAGCAACAATAAAAGTTCAAGAATCCGGATTGGACCGAAAAAAAAATTTCAATTCTTACACAACTTTTTTTTTCTCTCTCTCTCTCTCATAATAATAAATAATACAGAATTAAATTTCGATTTTTTTTCCTTGAAAAAAAAGAATGTTGTCTATAATAAAATTTATAGCAAAGAATTCTTGGTTGTTGTCCATGTGTATGTGCTTAGACCAACCAACACTATGGTTTTGGATCGAATTCTTTAGTTTAATTATAAACTATAAGTTTAAATTTTGGAAAATACATCACAACAACAACAACAACAACAACAACGATTGTGTTTGGTTTGTTTGGCCAAACAAAAATTGTTTGCCTTGTTTCATTTTTTTTTATATTTACCAATTTTGTTTTTTTTTGGGAATTTTTTTTTTGAATCTTCCTGTAGTGTACTACACACACACACACATCACATCACATCACATTATCTGAATTCTACATGGATTTTTAACAATAAAAAAAACAACAAAACAGAAAAGTTTTTTTGTTCATCATCATTTTATTCTTATCATTCTCGTATCATATTTGTGTTTGTGTGTGTGTATGTGTATGTTTGCACATTGAATGATGGTCGTCGTTTGGTCCATATGATGGAAATGTTTAGCTTTTTTTTTCTTTTCTTCTACGCCACTATAACTATAATGATGATGATGATGATGATGACCAACCAAACCAACAATTGGTCAATATCCGTCGTCGTTGGAGTAATGAACAAAAAAAAACATCTTTTCAATTTTCTTTCATCGGGAAAAAAAAATCAAACAGAAAAAAAAACGAAAAACTGTCCATTTATATAGCGATCTAAACAAAACAAAAAAGATTCCAAAGAATATTTTTCGAGTTTCATTGTTAAATATATGGAAAAAAACGAATTCTCTAATATAAACGACTTTTCGTATTCTCTTTATTCTGGGTTCAATTTATTCGTTTTTTTTTCGCTATTTGTTTGTTGAATGTTTGATAGCAATTAAAGAAAAAAAAGGCAAAAACGAGAATGCTAAATTGACGTTCATTATTTTCTCATCATCAAATTTCAATTGTCCACCCCACCACAATCTTATCATTGTGAAACAAATACAAGTACAAGTTATAGAAAAATTATAGAATTTGTCCGATTCTTGAAAACATGAATTATACACCAAACCAATGATGATCATCCATATATCCAATAATGAACCATTGAAAGAATCAAGTCAAGAGTGTGTGTGTGTGTGTGTGTGTTTGTTTGGTTTTGGCTTTTAGCAATACTGTTGTGTGTTGATGTAATCGTTTATATTCAGTAAAGAAGCAGAATCAAAAAAAAAGACGATACAAATCACGAGAATTCCTAAACAACACAAACGATTCTATAAATGATAATGATGATGTTGTTGTTGTCATCATATTGTCTGTTGTTGTTGTTGTTGTTGTTGATAGAGATTATTATGCGTTATATCACACATTTTTGGAGCTAACCATTGAAAAGAGATGCAAAAAAAACCAAAAGAATAAAAAACAAAAATGGCCTTTTTTATTGAGATGTTTCGTTTCGTTTCATTTCGTTTTGTTTGTTTGAAAGAATCCGATTTCTTCATTTTTGATTCTCGTATTGTGTTTGCATTGAAAGTGGTATTGATGGTGATAGTGGTGTGGGTGATGAACAAAAAATGGCATTTTCCATTTTTGAAACATCTGCTATTCGAATTTCTATTTCCATTATTCGGTGTATTGTTCATTATTTTTTTTTTTTCGATTTGAATTGAATGATTGTTGTTTGCGATTGATGTTTTTGACGACCAAAAAAAAAAAAAAAAAAGTGAAAAAAAGAGACCGTAAGGGAAATTCGTAAATTGATTTTTTTTTGCTTTCTTCGCATTTTTTTTTATTCAAACAAATGACTTTTATTGAATTTATTCACCAAGTATTCTTTGTGGTTTTTGTTTAGCTCCTGAAGGCCTAAAACTATCTAAACCAGCCATTGAATGAAACTTATACATTAGTTAAGATAATTCCGATATCAGACAATTTTCTATTATGTATCAATGTATATTGAATCTTGAAAATTGATTGAACAATAAGAAATCAGGTGATAATGGTGGCAATAATAAAAATAAAAGCAAAATTTTACGATTCTTTCAATTCTCTCTCTCTCTGTGTGTGTGTGTACAAAATAGTCATTAGAATAATGTTGAATGATATACAAATGAAAATCATTTATCAAGAAAAAAAAAGTTGTCAATATTTTTTCATCGATTGACGATGATGATTGAAAGCAGAAATATCATTGAAATTGTGTTTTCATAGACGAATCCCTGCTGCTGCTGCTGCTGCTGTTTCTGTTATTTTGCATCATCAAGAAATTTAAATTTATTTTTAGTTCCTATTTAATTGCCAAGAGAGAGAGACAGAGAGATGAACGGAAAACGGAAATTATTGATGATGATGACGATGATCACCATAGTGAACAACGGCTTGTCAAAATTCAATGATTATTATTCAATAATGGCAGAGAGAGAGAGAGAGAGAGAGAGAAAAAAGAAAAAAAAAAAATCATCCAGTTTAACAGTTGAGTGTAAAGAGTGGGAAAAAAAGTTTATTTTGGCTACATTCATCATGATCATCATCATCAACAACAACAACAGAAAGAAAATTGATCAAAAATATCGTATTGAAAGTAATGAATAGAATGAATATATATTTAGTTAATTTCAAAATACAACAAAAAAAAGTATAACTATTAGATCAAAGAATCGAATTAAAATTAAGGAATAAATAATTGAGAAAAAAGAAAAAAAATCCAATTCCTAGATTCAGTTTAATATTGTTGTTGTTGTTGTTGTTATTTGTATAAACATAAACATTTCAAATGTGCTGATTTTGTGTGTGTGTGTCTGTATGTACGTAAGAGTGAAATCTGGCTGGAAAATGAATGGCAATTTTATATGGCACACACACAAAAAAAAAGGAATATTTAATATTCACTGAATAAATGAACAAAGTGGAAATAATGAATAAATCCAAACAAGAAAAAAAAACAAAAAGATTATTCATGAAATCTCTGTTTTTCTTCTTCTTTGTCGTCATCATCATTATTATTATTATTATGAACGACAGTGACAACGACAAATAACAAAATGATGATGTTGATGATGATGATGATGGGTTTGATGTAAATTGAATATTTGTTTTCGGATTTGTTTTCTCTTTTTTCTATTGGGGCCAAATTTGTCTACAATTTGCATGTGCCTTACTATAATTTATACACTGTCTATATGTGTGTGTGTGTGTGTGCGTCTTTTATAATCTTATGTCTCTTCTTGGATAAATTGTGTAAATTTTCTTTAATAGAATTTTTTTTTGTGAATAAATAGATTCTAGGTTAGTTAGTTAGTTTCTGAAATTTTCTTAAATCGGATTGGAGAAAGAGAAAGTGTTTTTTTTTCACTATTTATTCACTACCAAAAAAAAAAAAAAAAAAAAAAAATTTCGATCGGGAACCATTGGAATGAAAATTTCTCTTATGTTCCATACACACAAACACATACACACACACTGAAATGAATATAAAACTGAATATAATAAAAAATAACCGGGAATATGGTATCGTCTTTATTTTATATATTGTCATATACGTCGTATTATTGAGAGAAAAAAAAATCATATACGGATATTGTGCGATGCACACATGAACACAAATATAAATATATATATATATAATGAAGAATTCTTTGTTGCCACAACAACAAAAAAAAAAAAAAAAAAGCAGCGGCAATAACCGAACAAGAATATTTGCAAAGGAAAGAATCTATTTTCATTGGTATATAAATATTGGAAGACACAAGAGGCTCCCAAAACACACGACCAAACACACACACACACACACACACACGGGAGCCATAAAGCCAGTTAGTCAAGTTGGTTAATGTCGATACAATTTTTGTTCGCCAGAATTAGAAGAATTTTAAAGAAAAAAAATCCATGTGATTCAAATAAAGAAGAATTTTACGCGCCAAACATATTCATGGCCATTATGTGAGTTTTGTGTTTCGCCGGTAAATCAAAAAAAAAAAAAAAAACAAACAAACAAACAAATTTTGGCTTCAAAACCTGAATAATCATCAAAATACATTATTGAAAGAGAAACGAAAAAATTAAAATCATGAAGAAAAAAAAAATAATCACATGTCATTGAATCAAAAAAAATCAAGTACAATGTTTAAATACTGTGAAAATTCTGTGTTGTTGTTGATGTTGTTATTTTTTTCTTAAAAAGACATCAAGAAAAAAAAGGAGCGATCGTTATCATCATCAATGTACCACTTTTTTTGGCGTATGAAAGAAAAAAAAATTCTTCATAATAGAATGTGTCTTTTTCTTTTTCGTGTGCATATGTGCAAAATAGATCTGCTGGTGAAATGCTAAATGAAATGTTTGGAAATGAAATATCATCATCATCATCATCATCATCATTAATAATCATAACATTGAATCTTTCATTCATTCATTGATTCATTCTTGTTTTCATCGAAATAATCTGTTTGTATTTTCGATATAAATA